CTAGATATTCCTTCCACTCTAAGATCAATAGTATCTAAACTCCCTTACAAACTGCGAGAAAAATGGCGGACAGTGGCTTATGATATATTACAGAGAACAAAGAAGAGAGCTAGATTTCGTGACCTTGTAGAGCTTATGGAAAGACAAGCTAAAATACTCCTGGACCCATTATTTGGGGATATACAGGATCGCCACATCTCTAGCCCAAGGATGGCCACGAGGAGCCAACCCATGAGCCACAGAACACCTAAAAGTAGAGGCAGCAGCTTCGCCACCATCATCGCAGCAGCATGTGATTAGGAGAGCAGCGCCGCACCATCAAACACAGAGCAGTGTTGCACCTTCAAACAACCACAAGGGAGCAGTCCTGCCTCTGCCACTGCTGACTGATTGCCATCAGTTCAAAAATCATCCACACAAGGAAAAGGTTGACTTTTTGAAGATAAATGGTTATTGTTTTGGATGTTTGATGAGGGCAGGAATTGTAGGAAAAGGCTGACATGTCAAAAGAGTCACCCAACAATACTTCACATTGACAGTCCACTTCTACAAAAGCCTCCCCCTACTGAAACAAAAGGAGCTTGGGTCAACAGTGCACTTGTCTCGGCTGGTGAAGCCACTGGGGCCGGTAGGGATTGTGCCCTAGCCATAGTGCCTGTTCGAGTCAAGGTTCACAAAGGATATAAGTTTATCTCAACCTATGCTTTTCTTGATCCCGGCAGTTCAGCGTCATTCTGCACAGAGAATCTAATGAGACAGCTAAATCCCAAAGCACGAAAAACGACAGTCGTTCTACGAACAATGGGTCAGGAACGACTTGTAAAGAGTTACAAAGGATTGGAGATGGGACATTTAGATGGCAGTACTTACCTTGACCTACCTCAGGTGTACACACAGAGTAAGACCCCGGCCACACGAGGACGAAAACGGCTAAACGCATAGGATTAACGCAAACGCAATCGCAAACAAGCTTCCGTCCACACGCAATAGTTATCTGGATAGTGTCTGCCCACACGAGACCGCTCCGTTTAGCTCCAACCGCTGGAGAAGCTGCAGTACATATGCAGGAGCCTGTACGTGGCGCTGTAACTTCCTCCACAAAAGCAGCGAAGAAGCATGGTTGTCATGGTTGCCCTTCTGTTTATTCTCCGCGGTGGGGGCCGAGGGAACCGGGCAGAGTTTTTTGCCAGTCAACGTGTATTAAAGTTTAAATCTTCCGACAAAATTATAAAAGTGCCGGTCAAATGTCGTCTTTGTTATTTATTGAGCTTTAAAACAAATGAATAACGACTCTATATAATATAATAATAAAATACACGGAGCCTCTCTTTTTCCTCCCTCTCTTCGGACCGCGCCAGTATCTGTCTCATGCAGCAGCTGATCCAGTAATGAGTGACCCGGCCGACAGTAAAAATAAACATATTTATAACTAGGTAGTTTGAGAGGTGTCTCCGTCCTGTCAGATTAGTCTTCACTCGCGTTTATGTCCATATCGAGAGAAAGATAAATCATCTGAATTCAGTGTGCAGTTTACTTTGACGCGGGGGTGAGCAGCAGAGGTGGGAGAGAGGCGGGGCTATTGCGCAGTCATTATCAGAAAATGATCGCTGAAGCTGCAGTACATATCCACAAAAGCAGCGAGTAAGATCCCCCCCGGATGTGTAAGTCTGCTGTAGATGTTGCACAAAGAACTGTAGCATGGTCAGTAGCGTCCGGAGCACGATAGCAACTCTGCGATCCGCCATTGTTGTTGTTGTTGGTGGCGAAACACATCAGCAATGGCGCGGGGTACGCGGAGGTGAGCAGCAGAGGTGGGGAGAGGCGGGGCTATTGCGCAATCATTATCATAAAATGATCGTATAGGGCGCACACACGGAGCTGTTTGACCCCCCAGAGCGTTGCGTATGCCGTTCTATCCACCTTGGGACCCGTTATCGTTTCCTCAGTCGTTTAGTGCCGTATGCGGTCGTCCTCGTGTGGCCGAATGGTCTATATGACACTAAACAGTAACGCAAACGGCCGTTTTTGTCCTCGTGTGGCTGCAGCCTAAGATTCCTGTCTCAAAAGAAAATGTACCTACCCAAAAGGATCTGGAAAGATGGCCTTATCTAAGTGAAATACAGCTGAAAGAAATGGATGCTGACATAGAGCTTCTAATAGGAGTTGATGTTCCTAAGGCAATGGAACCTTGGGACATAATAAGAAGTCAAGGAAATGGACCATATGCAGTCAGGACAGTGTTTGGATGGGTGGTAAATGGACCACTCAACGCTTGTACTGCTGTGGAATCCGGACCTGTGGTCACAATGGTCAACAGAATATCAGTAGCCAACCTGAATGATCTCCTCATCACACAATACAATCAGGACTTCTCGGAAAGAGATTATGAAGAGAAGAAGGAAATGTCAGGTGAAGACAAAAGGTTCATGGAGATAGCATCAAGCTCAGAGGAACTCAAGGATGGACACTATCACCTACCCTTGCCTTTTCGAAAAAAGGACATAGTTATGCCTGACAACTACGAAATGGTAAAACAACGTACTCTAAATCTCCTAAAGAGGTTTAAGAGGGATGCAGAATATGCCATGGAATACAAAACATTCATGGAGGATGTGTTAAAAAAGGGTTATGCAGAGAGAGTGCCACCAGAACAGCTTAACAGGAATGATGGGCAGATATGATACATACCTCACCACGGTGTTTACCATCAACAAAAGCACAAACTTAGAGTTGTGTTTGACTGCACTGCATCATGCAAAGGCACATCTCTTAACAAGGAACTTCTCCAGGGTCCATACCTGGCGAACACTCTCATTGGAGTTCTGCTTAGATTCCGCCAAGAACACATTGCTTTCATGGGGGACATCGAGGCAATGTTCTATCAAGTGCAAGTCCAGAGAGAGCACAAAGACTTCCTTAGGTTTCTGTGGTGGCCGGATGGAGACACTGAAAATTATTTGGAGGCATATACAGTTGCAAGAAAAAGTATGTGAACCCTTTGGATTCTCCACACATAGCGTTGTGTGTTCCTTCTAAACAACTCAACTTTGGTTTCATCTGTCCACAGAATATGTTGCCAGTAGTGCTGTGGAACATCCAGGTGCTCTTTTGCAAACTTCAAACGTGCAGCAATGTTTTTTCTGGACAGCAGTGGCTTCCTCCGTGGTGTCCTCCCATGAACTCCATTCTTGTTCAGTGTTTTACGTATCGTAGATTCGTCAACAGAGATGTTAGCATGTGCCAGAGATTTCTTTAAGTCTCTAGCTGACACTCTAGGACTCTTCTTCACCTCATTGAGCATTCTGCGCTGTGCTCTTGCAGTCATCTTTACAGGACGGCCACTCCTAGGGAGAGTAGCAACAGTGCTGAACTTTCTCCATTTATAGACAATTTGTCTTACCGTGGACTGATGAACATCAAGGCTTTTAGAGATACGTTTGTAACCCTTTCCAGCTTTATGCAAGTCACCAATTCTTAATCGTAGGTCTTGTGAGAGCTATTTTGTGCGAGGCATGGTTTACATCTGGCTATGCTTCTTAAGAATAGCAAATTCAAAACTGGTGCGTATTTTTTCCACAGTTGGCATCTAAAATCAAAAAGAGGCTATTAAATATTTCCATTTAACTTTAAAAACAGGCCGGTCAAAGTTCACGTGTTAACGCTTGAGATTTATCTGGAAACCTAAACCTTTTTAAAATATCTACGCAGACTATTCACATACTAATTGATAACGTCCTCCTATAATTACAGCTCATATGTTTACCATGAATTGTATGGCAGTAAAAAGGCAAAGAAAGCAGAGGAACTGGCACAAGCTCCATGTATTTCACCGACTGGAGACCACTGGACATCAGGAAGCAGTAACAGCACCATTTAATAAAAGAAGGAAGGAAAGGCATTTTGCTTTGTAATGTAGGAGCCCGTTTCTTGAAGTTTCTCAGGAGTGGAAGACACGGTTTTTACTGTAGAAATAGTTACTGCATTATGATAGCGGCAGAAAACAGGAGCATCTGTGTTGCGCACATTATACAGAGCGTGATCACAAAGGCTTGACAGCGTCTTTTGATGCTTTAGCTAAGTGTCGGAAAGTTGACGGACTTCATGCCAATCATTTTGAAATCATCAAAACTGAGCTGAGATGTTTAACAACAAAATAACAAACCTATGATTTGTCTTCATGGTTCATGTCAGCAGAAGTCATCACCATACATGTCGTTAATTAACCATAAAATCAAACAAGTTGGTTGGTCGTAAAGAATATTCTCAGACAGATAGACTAAAGATGATCTATAACTCAAATTGATGCATTATTTTCTATACAAAATGGGTAGTGGGTGCTGTCTTATGCCCTATTTAGATTTATTTTAGATAACATCAGATATAACAACAAATATATTTAGCAACAGGGACATTTGTTAACAATGATGTTTGTGAACGCAAGTTGATGTTAGTTTGAAATGTAAAAGCTAACGTCAGCCATACAGTGTAATGTTGTTAACACTCTCTGTAGTCAGATCTAGTAGAGTGTAATTGTTTCTCTTAATTAGCTGTTGTTTGCTCACATTCACTTTTCCAATTGGAGTTAACTGACTGACCGCTTTTGAGTGTCATGAGAGCCAGTGAGCTACCCGTTTTTTAAAACTACCTTCTTCTAGCAGAAGTCATCCCACTACCGTCTGATGTAAGACATAGGCCTTCAGATACGTTTATGGAGAGATCAGATCAATGCATTTACCCACTCATATTTAATACTGATCAATAAACTACTGCCAATAGATGTAATGTGTCCTCCCACTGTGTCTCCACCATGTCCAGTATCGGGTCTTCTGTCTGAGTGGACATTTCATAGGCCTCCATATGGAGTGGTTAGATAATTGGATTAACTAGATGTAATGTGTCCTCCACCTTTTCCTCCCACTGTGGCTCCACCATGTCCAGTACTGTTGCCTGGGTGGGTGTTGGAGAAAATACATCGTATTGATTATGAATCAGTAAACTACCTCGACCTGCAGGTTGTCGCCCACTGCCAGCAGAAGTAGTGTCTCCTCCATCTGTTCCTCCCACTGTGGCTCCACCATGTCCAGTATCAGGTATTCTGTCTGAGTGGACATATAAAATAAATATCAAGGCCTATACATATGAAGTGGTTAGATAATTGGATTAACTCATATGTCATAGTCATACAACCTGCAGGTGGAGGTAGTTTACTGATTCATAATCAATACGATTATAAATCAGTAAACTACCTCCACCTGCAGGTTGTACCCCACTGCCAGCAGATGTAGTGTGTCTTCCACCTGTTCCCACCTCTGAAGCACAACATATTACATTTAAAGGACGAGAGAACCAAGTCCTTTTAAGCAGGTTTAAATACACACAGAGCTTTATCTTTTACTATTTTTTTTAGCGCACCCATGACTCGTGCATGCATGCACACGCACGGTTGTGGCATGACGACCAAAAGCGAAAGATATGGACACAAGAAGTGTGCAATTGTATCTAGTATCCTATCCATCTGAACATGATTTAAGTGGGGGAACATCCTCTAGGGAGGGTCAACACCCATATGAAACAGAACTGTAAACAGATTTTCTTTTTCTTCATGGATATTTTACAAATCACTCCCCTTTTAAACTGTACTCTTGTTTTATCGTCATATAGTATTTCATACCTGTTTTTCATTTATTCTGTTATTTTTGTATAACTATAATGATCATATAAAGGTGTGCATTTACATCACTGAGCTGAGCCGGCGTTCCGGTGCGCTCCGGCAGCACTACTCGCTACTGTATAGTTAGTTTAATAGGTTTATTTTTCCGCTACTTCCCTACCCCCACCCCCTTAACCTGTCTGCCTTTTTCCCCCTACTCCCCCCCCCCCCCCCCCTACCCGACTTGTAAAGCGATCTTGGGTTTCCTGAAAGGCGCTATAAAAATATTATATATTATTATTATTATTACACCCAGTTCCTACAGCCTGTATCCTAACCCGCATGGAAATAAAAGAGCAGTATTCTTTCTGTACTGTACTAGTTTGCCCTAGTAAAGCACATTATCCTAACAACAATTATAAAATAGTTTTTTAGTCATTTGAATATTTCTTAATCCACTCATACTATTCAACGTTTTTTTGCAAGACTTTTGAAGTATAGGCCTAAAAGTATTATATTTTATCTTCAGTATTAGTCTCGTCCTTTTTATGCATTTTTTATTTGAATCTGTCCGGTTTTAATAACCATTCTGTTGTCTTACATTTGATATATATGTCAAATGATAGCTTAGTTGCAGGGTAGCTTTTGTCATATATGGTACATTTGAGGGCAATTGTAATGCTGTGTTACACGGACCCTGACTTGCTTAATACGATTTGTCTCTTCTTCTAACAATTTAAGTGTTTTGTGTTAAATAACATTTCTACATAAAGTGTATTTTTAATCTATTTATATAGTAGTTTCATAGTCTAATAGAGCCATTTTCTAATGCTTTTCACTATTTGAAATGGCCATGCATCAAGTTTATTTTATTATTATTTCTAATTATTGTTGAATCAGTAGTTGACTTCACCTTAAATTCTGCAATATTTGCTTAATTTAGACCATGGGAGCCATTTAATTTTGGACAAGGGCCATTTGTAACATCTGATAATTCACCAATCCATAATGACACAGAAATAATAAAAAGTATTCTTATTGGCGCATTTCTCAGTAAATTGCCAACTTACTGCACGTTGGGCCTTCAGTCCAGTTTCCTAAGATGCAAAAGATTGTTTTGGTGTCTGCTCCCTCTGCAGTATATCCATCTTCACACTTATACTGCAGTTTTGAGCTTGCAGCAAACACCTCCTGGTATCCCTTACCAATGATGACTGCATGTTTTTTTTTAGGGGGATCACCACATGATTCGGTACTCCCTGAAAATGAGGTTATTGTGTAAAGTGGATTTAAGATTTAGATACTGATTTGATTCTGGTAACTGACATTTAAAAAAATGAATAAGACTGACTTACTTTCACAGATTGGCACAGAGACCCATGCTCCGTCACTACACTGCGCTGCTGCGTCATGGTCTTTGTGTTCATATCCTTCGTCACATTTTACCCTGATTTTGTCTCTGTCCCCATACCAACCATCTGTGCTTGCATCGTAGTTTCCATTTGGGATAGTCAGTGACACACAGGCTTTTTCATCTGAGTTGGAAAATAAATGAATACAATTTGAAATAAAGTGCAGAACACGACAGCTCCTATGCATTGTCCTTTGGACGTTAGGGCCCCCAAAGACTTTTTCAAGAACAAAAAAGTATACCTTCTCACCGTCTTTTCATTTTTAAAATGTCATTATTTGCATGAAAAATATCTCTACGGTTTTAATAAAGCAAACATTTTTGTAACATTTAACCAGAACTCATATATTTATTTCATTGTTGGATATTAAGTAAGTTAGGCCAAAATCAACTAGCATCATTCAGAAATGTAACAAAAAGGAATCTTTGCCTACTCTTGAAATGTTATGGTAAAATCTGTGTGCCGCCGGGTTGTGTTGGTGTTTGTATAATTCACATCTGTTTATTGGTGAGAATGGATGGAAAAATGCTGGTTACAAAACATGTAATAATAATTAAAAAGTCTCTACAGTGTCATAAAAAAGCAGGACTATCCTTTCAATCAAAATCAGAAATTAAATGAAAATAAAACTATAAAGCAAAGTATTACACATTAACCCTGAAAAACACAACATAGAGTGGGTTATTTAAACAAACCAACAGAGAAATTATTAAAAACGTACCTATACATTGGGGATCAGGAGACCATTTGCCATTTTGACATTTGCTTGTCGCCCACCAGCCCTCCACTGCTGGTTTAAGTCCGTTATCACAGGCGTAAGTGAGCGTTGCTTCATGAAGGTACGTTTTTTGTTCAGGGACAACATAACCTTGACTCAGACTGGAAGCAGTACAGTTCTGGGTTTCATTGTGTGCTGAAACAAGTAAGAGAGCACTATAATAAAACACCATCCATCCATCTTCTCCCGCTTATCTGTGGTCGGGTCGCGGGGGTAGCAGTTCCAGCAGAGAGCCCCAAACTTTCTTTTCCCTGGCGACATCAACCAGCTCTGACTGGGGGATAATAAAACACTTGAACTAAAAATGATAGGTGACAGAATGTAATGTTCTTACCATGCAGCACTCCTGGGAACCAAAGCAGAAGAACAAATCCTAGATATCCCACAGACATTTTTTCAGGAATTAAAATACTGCAGGACAAAGCAGAGTGAAGTACACTCCGATCAGGATTGTACAATCAGATCAGGTTAATTATTGTCGGGGTCAACCCCAAAAAGTTAGGCAATGTGTGTCTTTGACTCTGACGTCACGCTGTTGCTCCGAGCCCAACACACCGATGTGAACTGCAGCAAATATCACAAAAACATATTGCGTATTAATCAGAGATACATCTGGGGTAACTGTACTTCTAAAAAGACTAAATTGGTCCTATTTGATGTCTCATTTTATGACTTATTCAAAATGATGGGGATGTTTCTAAATGAGTGATAGTAAGCTGGAGTTATGCAGAGGTAGAATAGGTATTCAGATCCTCTGCTTGAATAAAAGTACATGATGTATACCACTTTGAAATAAAAAATTCCTGCATTGAAAATGTAAATCAGGTAAATGTATAATCAGTAACATGCTGTTAAAGTGTTAAATGGAAAAGTACTTAATGCAGAAACATTTGTATACCCCAAAACTACAAATTATTCAAAAACAAATATGTATAGATGCAAATACATTTTCTCTCAATCGGCTAGTTGATTTATGGACTTCAATCTGTTCTTGTACAAAGGTTTTGCTTGTTTATCCCTCTATGGCATGACTTTTTATTTTGGGAGGAAAAAAATGTTTCACCATGTGTTTTAGGAGCTTAGGGGTCCCTGATATTATATCAATTATAAAATGTGACCCCCCCCCCCTCACCCCTCAACCAGGGGTTGGTTTGTTGCCTCAGGGCAACACTGTGCTACGTGGGTATTGAAACACCAAGGATTTCTACCATTCAGAAGAAATAGAAAAAACAACTCTATATGAATTCAAAAGGTTTTCTGTGTGTGTGTATGTGTTTGTATGTCTCTGTGTGTGTGTGTGTGTGTGTGGGTGGGTGTGTGTCTGTGCGTGTGTGTGTCTGTGTTTGTGTGTGTATATCTGTGTGTATGTACGTGTGTGTGTGTGTGTGTGACGTGTATGTGTTTGTATGTCTCTCTGTGTGTGTGTGTGTCTGTGTGTGTCTGTGTGTCTGTGTGTATGTATGTGTGTGTGTATGTGTGTGTGTGACGTGTATGTGTTTGTATGTCTCTCTGTGTGTGTGTCTGTGTGTGTCTGTGTGTATGTATGTGTGTGTGTATGTGTGTGTGTGTGTATGTGTTTGTATGTGTGTCTCCGTGTGGGTGTGTGTGAGTGTGAGTGTGTGTGCGTGTCTGTGTGTATGTGTTTGTATGTCTCTCTGTGTGCGTGTTTGTGTATGTATGTGTGTGTGTCTGTGCATGTGTGTGTGTATGTATGTGTTTGTATGTGTGTGTCTCTCTGTGTGTGTGTGTGTGTGTGTGTGTGTCTGTGTTTGTCTGTGTGTGTGTGTATCTGTGTGTGTGTCTATGTGTGTGTTTGTGTCTGTGTGTGTGCCTGTGTCTATGTGTGTGTGTCTGTGTGCCTAACCCTATGTTGACCTTCACTGTCCTCACTGTCAGACGGAATAGCCCTAACAGCCTGACCGTGTCCCTTCTGCCCATAACATGTTTTGTTGTCCATTTCCTGTAAATATCAGTAGAGGTAAAAACATTGATTAGGTTTATCATTTTATAGCTGAGCACACTTGTATGATATTGCCTGGAAAAAAGTGATCAAGTGGCACAGTGTTGCTCTGAGGCAACGAACAAAAAAACATAGTTTTAGCTAATTGATAAATACATAATAAGTCTTCAAACAATCAAATATACTTCTTTACGTATTCATGCACATGCATGTATTTTTTATTTTAAGTTGTGTACAATTCTAATATGTTAAAAAGTGAAATGTATCTTACCAAGTGGTGGCCCTGAGTCCCCTGCAGTTTTGCTTGCAGAAAGGACTGCTCCACCCCCAGACAAAATGCCACACCCATATAATTCCCTCATTGTATTGGACACCAGCATGTCAGGTGACATTGTGTATATTTAAAAAAATTAAAATATTTAGAGGGCCAGTGTGAGGTCGAAAAAAGTGGTTTGTTGCCTTCGGGCAACAGTATGCGTTAGAGGGTTAATTTATAACAAAATATCACATTTTATAAACTTAGAAAAAATCTATTTAGTAAAGTAACTGCATCTAAAGCAGTTAAAGAGGCCCTATTATGCTTTTTGGGCTTTCCCCTCTCCTGAAGTGTGCTCTATCAGTTGTTGTGCATGTACATGGTCTGCAAAGGCTAAAATCCCTGTGTCTGGAGCTATGATACAAACAGAAAGTCATATCAGTAAGTAGTTTTGGTATTATGAGTTCTTCTTAATCGTAAGAATAAAGTGCTTTCTCATAATCAGATGTTCACTACATGATATAGCAGTATGTATATAAATTCAGTCAAATTCGTTTTTTCCTTTGTTTATTGTGCTACATTTCTTTTAAGAGTGACACTCAGCTGTTTGTATTGAATTCATGGAAGGGAGAATGGAAAATAAACTAAAATGATTGAATAGGCACAGTTATACTCAAACTATATTATCCAATGTGGGTTTTAAACAATACTTTAAATATCATGGTTATCTTCAACACCAGTAAGTTGAAACACCCTAAAAGAACGTTATAATAGTCATAATGATTTCTGGTATTATCTCCTTATTTTTTAAATAATTAACAGTACCTTAATCTGATTACAAAGTCATGAAAGATAATGAAACATAATGAAATATGAAAGCTTTAACTCTAATTTTGTGTATTTTGAGTTTGTGATGGTACCTCAAACTGACATCGCGTATCCCCCCCCCCCCCCCCCCCCCCCCCCCTTCATTTCTTTAGAGTCAACATTTCAAAATGATTTCCCGGACTGCTGTGATCGGAGGTCAGCATTATGCAACACCAAACACAGGGAGGTCAAAGCTCACACTGCAGAAAAAGAGGTGACATTTGGAGGAAAAACAACATTTGATCAAAAACAACATAAGGAAACTTCCTCCAAATTATATATTCAAATAATTACTACTAATGTTGATGAGTTATGATGTGAACATTTAGTTAGTCCATGAATTACTAACCCAAACATTTTTAAATATTGTTTTGTTTTCCAGGACATTAAACATTCATTTTTTTACAATATTGAAAATAGATTTGTCTTCACAAGAAGGCTTAAGAAACCTAAAAATGCAGCTTATCCAAACTTATTAAAAATAGGTACAATTAAGTTGGACTGGAACAACAACAAAAAAACATTAAAATAAAAGTGCTTCACATAGAAAATTGCAAATATCTTTATTTATGTGACAGCCTATTTGTGTTCATTTTATGCCTTTAGTTTCTGCTGTTTCTTTTTGCCTGAAATGCCTCCATTGTACCCCTTTGTTTACTTCAGTAACACAATGACTTCACGATGTAACACTCACACTCCTAATGGCGCTCCGACACATTGTACTTATAGGCTAAGGGGGTGGGACATCACCCAACCACAAGAGCAGACTGGGCTCTGGTTTCAGACAGAGGGTGAAAAGAGGTGCTGCAGCACAGGCAGTATGAGGAAAATAGAGACCTTTTCGAACATTTTATATGTCCTCTTTAATTAATTTATCCATAAGCGACATACAAATGTAAGTGTTACCAAAATCTGCTTAGACTGGGGCAGCCCTATTGCTTCAATATGAAGGCCACAAGGTCTTACTGGACGAAATCATCAAAAAGCTGCACTAAGCAATTACTCTGCTGAGGAAAGTGAAGTAGGGTCGGATGTTGTAAAGAGGAAGGAGGCAATTTGTCCTGTGTGTGTCTGTGTGTGTGAGGCCTCCAGAGATCTGTATTGATTTCTCTCTCCACTGTCTGCCTGACACAACTCGCCCATTGATGAGGAAGGTTTTTTCTTGTTATCATCAGTGTTGTGCTAGTTACTGAAAACCAGTAACTAGTTACTTCATTTCAAAAGTAACTCAGTTACAAAAAAGTAATGCGTTACTGTGAAAAGTAACGTTTTGGTTACTTAACAAAAGGCCTCCCATTAATGCCCTTATAGCCTTCATTTCAGTACTGTTATTGCATTGGAGAATAATACAATCTGTTGATCAACTTGACATGCATTATATGCAATCTGGATTGCATCGATATTAGCTGGCTTTCCATTTTTGTATATTCTTTCTCCAGGTAGTTGGAAAAAGTTTTCCGTCCCATATGCCGTGTGCCGCCCGGACATGCTATCATGCTAACTAGCTCCCTGAAAGCGGGTGACTCCACTGTAGCAATAGCCTGCATGTGTTCTACAACATACCGTGCAATGGCTTTATCGACTTTTCCCTGGCCAGCAGTCCCTTTGTTAAAATCCAGCCGCTGTTGCTTAGGTGGAGGTGGAGTGGCGTCGGCTGAGTCTCTGTGGTCTTAGCTACTAGCTTCGTCCCAGCATGTTGTTTTTGCAGATGTTTTAAGAGATTTGAATGACTGGTTTGGGCAGTAGATAGGATCTTTGACCCGCCAAGACACAACTTACATTTAACAGAAACGTTATTTTCTTTGTGCTCGATAAAAGTGAAATAGTGAGAATATCTCCAGGTGGAGAAACTAGACTTGAGCTCCGCCGCCGCCATGATAGTCTTGTTAGTAAACAACACAAACACGCCCACAGCCCGTCTCCACATGTGACACAGGAAGTATCAAAGTACATTTACTCAAGTACTGTACTTAAGTACAGTTTTCATCTCTGTTCGCCTGGCTGTTGACTATATAAAAACTAACTAACGCAGTAACGGAGTAACGCACCATGTAGTAACGGTAACTGAGTTACTGAATTTATAAAGTAATGCGTTAGAGTACTAGTTACTGACAAAAAATAACGACGTTACTTTGTAACGCGTTAGTCTCCACACTGGTTATCATCCATCTTGCCACACTACTCCTTCCTTCCTTTAAGATTTTCTTCTAACACATACAATTCCAAGGCAGTAGAAGTGAGCTGAATGAGGATATGATAAAGATTACGTTTTGTGCCAGTGTGTGTAAAAAAAGGCACTGTTAACATAATGGCATTCATTTCTGTGGTTCAGTTTAATAAAACATAAATCATGATATATTATGATATTCCATTAAATGTTTTCCTTTATAATGTATTGTTAGAGCCACAAAGTTATTATTTCGATTCATAATTTGATAAATGATTTAGTGATGGAGGGGTGATTTGTGTTGCCGTAGTGAATATGTTTTGATGAAGTGAATGTTTATTTTATGTCGTAAATATGATCTGTTTCCGTGTACCTTCCGGTGTGTATTTAAGTGAGGTAATTGAGGACAGCCGGCGTGCTCGGAGACCTGATGAGACGGGGAGCGGAACAGTTTTTCGAACACAAATTGCAGACAGAGATTGGTGTTGCAAATTGGACTGCAAACAAAGTATAGTTTAGTTTATATAGGAAAGTATATCGCCGAAATATTGTTTAAGATTTGTTAATTTGAGACTATTTAAGTCAATACTTTTTTGTTAATAAATTACATTTTTATGACTGAAAACCTTCGGCTGCTTATTGTTTTGGATTGCGTGTCGTCAACCCCGCTCTATAGTGGCAAGAGGAAACCCTTGATGCCATTACATCAAGTCGAAAAACTCCGTAAGGAAGAGAC